TTTTGATAACTTCAGCAACATTATTCAAAGGAATCGTTTCAATTTCGTATTGGTAGATATTAATGGGTACCACAACCCATGGCAAAATAATTTTGTATGCAGGTCCACGTCTTCGTATAGCCCCCATATGGAGATACCGTTATATGGGGGCTATACGAAGACGTGGACCTGCATACAAAATTATTTTATTATATTCGATATTTTAATGATTTTAGAGACATTATTCACTGGAACTGTTAAAGTTCGTTATGGTTATAGGCTGACAAAAAATTTCGTATGTAGGTGCATCTTTTCTTATAATTTTAATTTGAAATTTAATTTTTTTGAAAATTTTCAAGTTCCTTTCAAATGGTGGAGGGTGTTAAAAGTTCAGCTCGGCCAAAATTCGCTGCTTTCTTACTTGTTTAATACATTCCTGTACATGGCACTTATTAGTAGAAATTTCCACATTTTCGAACTTTTTAAAACAGAAGTGACTACAGAATAAATTTAAGAGGAATAGCCCTTTTGCTTCACATTTACTACCTTTTGGTACTTTTTCCGATCTTAACAACTAGTTAAAAAATTGACCACTGGGCCAACCACTTTTTCGTGCGTGGCCGACCATGTGATACCCTACAACACTACAATATGTTAGAAGCCCTCTTATGTTCAAATCCATTTTGAGAGATTGTCATAGAAGTTTTTTTTGTCATAGAAGTTATTTTTTAAATAACTTCTGGGGAGAATATCCCAGACAAGAAACAAGGGAACTGATGAGGATTGGTGGCTCTTTCCGAAACCTAGGTATTCCCTGCCTTACCCCCTGGTAAACATTACTATCGTTCTCCACACATAAACAAACGTTGTTTTTATAAAAACAACAATAATGGGATTTTGCCTGACGATTTTTGCAACAACAAAAGATTTTGAAATAATTAAGAGATTTTTGAAATAATGACTCGGAACACCTCCCAGATATTACCCTTAACATTTCGACCAGAGACATTTGCCCTCTGTCCGTCGTGCTGTTAATTGTTGTGGTCCATTTTACAGCTAAATATGGTCCAAAGGTCATCCAAAATGCCAGAATTCTTGCCTGTCCTTTACTCTCTTCTCGGGCGTGTCGATTGGCTTCAGTTGTTTGATCAGGACATTTTTTCCTTTTTTTGGTTCCTAAATATTTTGCGATCACCTAGCCTTAAAAAGCCAGATGTTCGCCCTTTGTGTATTTCGGATATCATCTGTAAGTAATGTTTATATTTTTTCACACAAAAGTAGTGGTCCTAAACTCTTAAATTTCGTGTCCTTTGCTTTCTATTTGTGACCTTTATAACGGCTGCAAAATAAGAAGCATTTTTAGTTGTTTTTCCATTTCAACCCCTAAATATTATGCGATCATCTCAAAAAGCAATAGGCTTCTATTCTGGTCATAACCCCGACTCCATTCTAAATTTCGTGAAGATCGGGCCATAATTGCGACCTGAAAAGTGATTACAAATTAACATACATAGCTAGATCGGCTCAGCTCGGCGAGATATATACTTTCCTATGTGGGAAACCAATATTTCGAGGTGTTACATAATTTTTGGACCAATCAAACTTATAATACCCCCAACACATAGTGTTGTAGGGTATAAAAAGTCTGTCTCAAAAAGTACAATATTTAAAACAAATTGCCACAAAAATCACCTTATCTAATATCTCGTATATAGAGTGATCTACACGCGACCCTATCTCTAAAAGCATAGCCAAAAAATGGATTTAAATACTTTTTTTTAGATCCTTCTATTACGATTTTTACCTCTTCAGGAAGCGCCCTCCTCGGGTCGACATTGCCCAACAAATTAAAATTTATATCGACTACTGTTTTTTTCCTTCTTCTTCTTCTTCTTCCCTTACCTTTCTGCCAACGCCACCAAAAGCACATGCTGAAAAGAATTCCTTCAGAAAATTAAGAGCTTTATTTCGTTTTGAGGTTTTGACCAGACAACAAACAACTCCACCAAAACAGCAACAACAATAACAACAGCAATAAAACACAAAACAAAGCAAAATTTCATTTTGTTTCAAAGAAAAAAAAAAATTAGCCAAAACACCTAAAAGCAGCAGCAGCAGCAGCAACAACAACAACAACAGAAATAAACCATAACAGCAAAGCAACAAATCTAATTCTCAGTTGGTGTTTTAAATTTTTAAAATTACTGCAAAATTTCGCCTCAAGTGTTTTACCAACCAAACCGACCAGCTGGCATTGTACTAGGCTTCACTACTCTGTTGTGAATTGAACAGAAAATCGTTTGATTTCATTTTAAAAATTTAATACACGGTGTTTCTTTTTTTCGTTTTTTGATTTCGATTTTGTACTAACTTCAATGCCTGATTGCTTTTGGCCAAAGTGGAGAAACTTTGATTTTAGTTTTTTTTTTTTTTTTTGCCAGGTTTCGAGGCCATAAATTTGTGTGAAAACTTCAATAAATTTTATTTTTTTACATTAATAATTAGCTTGCCGGATGCTCTGCACTGAAAAATAATTTTCGAAATTAGGTTTGTTGTGTAACATAGGAAATTTTGCAAAAAGCTAGATTTGTAGGCCTAATTACATGTGGTGGAATATTAAATTTATAATTTGGGGTAATTACAGAAATTAGCAACACAATGCTACACAATTTGGTCGATTTTGGTCATTTGGAGCAGAAATAGGGTTACTACTTCCTATGAAGGGCATATTCTCAATTAAACACTGTTTCGAGTGAAAGAGTTGTTTTTTACAGGGATTATGTCCCTCAGATTGAAGAAGGACTATTTAGAAGATCTGTCTGATTTTCTGATTCAGAATTCGATTTTCCTGACCAAACTCCCCACTTTTTGTCATGGCGGATGTCTAAGATATTGATGGGATTTCATATTAAAGATATTTCAATAGATTATAAAAGTAAAGCTGTTCTATGACCTGAAGACCTGTTACAGCTCTTATATGTCCAGAAGACCATGAACGAGCTGCAAGAGATCTTCTGGCCATAGACGAGCTGTAACAGGTCTTCCGGTCATTTAAGAGCTGTAACAGGTCTTCTGGTCATAGAAGAGCTGTTACAGTTCTGCTATAACAAGAATACGTGTTACAGCGCTTCTATGGCCAGAAAACCCGTTACAGCTCTTCTTTGGCGAAAAGAATTTTTACAGCTCTTCTATGGCCAGAAGATTTGTAACAGATCTTCTATGGCCGAAGATCTGTAACAGATCTTCTATAGCAATAAGTTCTTTTATGACAAGAAGACAAATTAAAGCTCTCCAAAAGACCTCTTACAGTTCCTCTATGGCCAGAAAACCTGCTACACCTCTTCTATGGGCAGAAGACCTGTTACAGATCTTCTATGGCCAGAAGACTTGTTACAGCTTTTCTCGGGCTAGAAGACCTTATACAGCTCTGCTAGACCAGAAGAACCGTTACAGTTCTTTTGGTGTCAGAAGACCAGTTACAGCTCTTCTAGGGCTAGAAGACCCATTACAGATCTTAAATGACCGGAAGACCTGTTACAGCTCGTCTATGGCCCGAAGACCTGTTACAGATCGTCTATGGCCAGAAGACCTCTCGCAGCTCGTTCATGGTCAGAAAATTCTGTTACAGCTCTTCTCCGGATAGAAGACTTGTTACAGCTCTTCGGAAGACTTGTTACAGCTCTTCTATGGCCAGAAGACCTGTTACAGCTTTTCTATGTCCAGAAGACCTGTTACAGCTCTTCTCCGGATAGAGGACTTGTTACAGCTCTTCTATGGCCAGAAGACTTGTTACAGCTCTTCTATGGCCAGAAGAGCTGTTACAGCTCTTCAGGAACCAGTTACAGTTCCTCTGGAGCCAGAAGACCAGTTGCAACTCTCCAATTGCCAGATTATAAAAGTAAAGCCAAACAAGTAAAAAAAGCTTTAAGTTCGGCCGGGCCGAACTTTTAATACCCTCCACCATTTGAAAGGAACTTGAACAATTGCTAAAAAAATCTGAAAACTATCACTTAAATCAAAATCGTTATATGGGACTACTATACGAAGACGTGGACCTGCTTACGATTTTTTTTGTCATAGGCTGTAGTACCCATTACGATCTTCAAATACTAAATTTGAAATAATTCCGGTAAAAAATGTCGCTAAAATCATAAAAATACCGAATATCGGGAGGTACTGTTATATGGGGGTTATACGAAGACGTGAACCTGGAGGCAAACATTTTGCCAGAGGCTGTAGCACCCATTACGAACTTCAAATACGAAATTTGAAATAATTCCGGTAAATAATGTCGCTTAAATCATGAAAATACCGAATATCGGGAGGTACCGTTATATGGGGACTATAGGAAGACGTGGACCTGCTTATGAATTTTTTTGCCACAGTTTGCAGTACATATTAATACCTTTCGATACAAAATTTGAAACGATTCTGGTGAATAATTTTGCTGAACTCATCAAAACACCGAATATCGGTAGGTACCTCTATATGAATTATTAAATGTTCGGATTAAGATACCTTTATATCCTTACATTGTAAGCACATAGTGTCTTTGGCAATTTTTCGGGATTATTTTGTTCGAAAATTTTAACCCCCATGCGAGTAACCACAGGCCCTTGTTTTTGTTGTTGATATTGAAATATTAATGTTAATTTGAGCTTAATGGATGTTCCAAATTTTGACCCTTTGTGATATTGTCCATTTTCGCACCTGATCTAGCACTGATGCAAATATTAGGATTCGGAAAGTTGGAGAAAAATCGGACTATCCTTTCTCTTTCTGTGCGGTAAAATAATAAATATTGACCTTTTGTGGGGCAGGTACCAGAAGGAGTTGACCGACATTGCCCATCTCCGAACTCTATCTAAGTTTGATGGTGTTCTCATATTTTTTTTTTGAAATACCACCAATAAAAGGAATCACTTTTTTATGACAGACCCTCATTGCTGCTAAATAGTTTTTAAATACCGAAATTTCATTCCTTATCTAATCCAAAATCCCATCTCCCCTTCTCTTTTCAGTTGAATATTTCCGCAAAACTACGCAAAAAATTAACAAAATTACCAAACCACATATCGGCCGACATCAAATGAATTAAACGGAAAATTCCTTCACCCAAGTAAGTACTCTATGTGATCGCAATCATAATCCTTATACAGTTTTCTCGATAACAAAAAAACGCTCTTTCAAATAAATTCGTCATTTGGCATTACAACATTAATCGTGATCAGAGGACCCACCACACACAGCTCTCACACAGCACATACGACAGCAATCACCTTAGCTTTTGCGTTTCTCCTCAACTTGATTTTTCCTTGGAAAAATTACTTGGAAACTCATAAATAAACTTAACTGCCACGAACATCTCTTAACAACGCCCTCACTTTGCCTTCAAAAATCCCACCCAGTCATTGTTAAAATGTTGGCCAAAACCACCAGCTACAACAGCAACAATAACGTCAACAAAATTGATTGTATTAATTCATATCAAACAGAAATTGTTACAATGATCTTAAAGTCCACTTAAATGTGGAATGGAGAGTGAAAGAGAGAGAGAGAGAGAGAGAGAGAGAGAGAGCCGAAATATAAATGTTTAAAGCACACAAACGAACCGTCCACACCACAAATAAAGAAAAATACTGAGGTGTAGTCTAGTTGGAGGAAAACCTTTAAATAAAACAAAAGAAAATCCACATGAAAAATCCATGGCAGCACGAAATCTGTTTGGATGTTGATTTGGAGGATATTAGGGGTAGGAAAATGGAAATGGGACGAAAAAAAGTTAAAGCAAATAACAGCTACAGCCAAATTAAACCATTAGAAACCATCATTTAAGCTCACTTATAACAACAAGCTTTAAAACCACTCTTCCAGGAACAAGAAGAAGGCCTCTTAAAGCTCTGCTATAGCTCTTCTGTAGCCAGAAGACATGTTACAGAACTTCCGGAGCCAGAAAACCGATTAGAGATCTTCTGCAGCCAGAAGACACATTACAGCCTTCTGTGACCAAAACACCTGTTACTGATCACCTATGGCCAGAAGTCCTGTTACAGCTCTTTTATGGCCAGAAGACCTGCTACAGCTCTTTTATGGCCAGAAGACCTGCTACAGCTCTTCTATGGTCAGAAGACCTATTACAGCTCTTCTATGGTCGGAAGACCTATTACAGCTCTTCTATGGCCGAAAGACCTGTTACAGCTCTTCTATGGTCGGAAGACCTGTTACAGCTCTTCTATGACCAGAAGACCTGTTACAGCTCTTCTATGACCAGAAGACCTGTTACAGCTCTTCTATGACCAGAAGACCTATTACAGCTCTTATATGACCGGAAAATCTGTTACAGCTCGTCTATGGCCAGAAGACCTCTTGCAGCTCGCCCATGGTCAGAAAATCCTGTTATAGCTCTTCTCCGAAAAGAAGACTTGTTGTTAAGCCAGAAAACCTGTTACAGCTCTTCTATGGCCAGAAGACCTGTTACAGCTCTTCTATGGTCAGAAGACCTGACCTTGCCAGATGACCTTTTAAAGTTCTTCTATATCCAAAAGACCTTTTACAGCTCTTCTGACGCTAAAAGACCTTTTACAGCTCTTCTGACGCTAAAAAACCTTTTGCTGCTCTTCTATGAGCCAGAAGACCTGTTAGAGCTCATCTATCAGCCAGAAACCCTGTTAGAGCTCTTCTATGGCCAGAAAACCTGTTACAATTTTTCTATGGCCGAAGATCTGTTACAGCTATTCTATGGCAGAAGATCTGTTACAGCTCTTCTGAAACCAGTTACAGCTCTTCTGGTTCCTGGAGACCATTTATAGCTCTTTTGCTTCCAGAAAACCCGTTACAGCTCTTCTGGTGCCAGAAGACCTCTTGCAGCTGTCCTGTTGCCAGAATCTTTTGTAATTCTCTTCTGACTTTAATATTATTGGAGACCCGTCATAATCCGTTCCCTAATATTTGCTTTGTTACCACTTCGTCCGAATGCTCCACACAACAGCTACAATTGAGTTCAGAAATGTATTCATGCGGTTTATTTTGGCGTTTGTTGTGGCTGTTCCATTTTTTTCGCTTGCCTGATGCTGTTGTTGTTGTCATTGTGGTTTCGTCTTTGTTTTTGTTTTACATTTTCTGCAAGAAGTACTTTCGTTAGGAGCAATGGAGCAATCTGTGTGGCTTCGAACCCAAAACTAAAGTGCTGTTACAGAAATAACAAACGACGAAAATCGCAGAGAAAAATTTTTGGGCGAAGTACCGACAGCAAAAAAGAAAAAAAAAATCACCAGAAACAAAACAAAAACAAGAAAACACCAAACATCCATAGGTAGCAGCTACAGAGGTATTCCACCGAGCGCTCAGACACACACACACATCGCATCAAACCATTCCGGGTTAAGCTTGAAGCTGACCAACTGAACGACCGACCAAACGTCAGGCCGCCAGACGGGCAAAAGGCAGTACAATGGAACCATCCATGGCTTACACGGCCATGGAGAGTACATTTCGGTGGCGCCGCTTTTGTTGTCTTTGCGAATTTCTTGAAGTTTTTTTTTCTTCGCCGTTTTTGTTTTGCTATGTTTTCGCTATCGTTGTTTTGTTCAATGGCCGAGCGAGCGAGCGTTAGATACATTTCCAATTGTCGAATATTGTTGTTTTGTCTTTTTGTTATTGCTGTTGTTGTTCTATTAGCAATTGAAACGTGGAAATTGGGCAAAACAAAATTGTTTTAACTTGGCTGGGGATTTTTGTCCAGAAATTAGTTCATTTGCAACATTGTTCGCAATGTTGGGATAGAACTAATCTCGGAAGCCCAAACAGACACATACATGCACACAACATTCGCTTTGTGGTTTAAGTGATTAATTGTTCGCTCTGTGGGGATGCAGTAAAACCCATGCATGTTTGATACGGTCGGGTGAGGTATTTTAAAAATTTACGGAGTTCGATTTAATTGCGGCAAATTAAGATGTTCTCATCAGCATCGTGATAATTATCGGGAGTAGTTTACAGTAAAAGAGAGGAGTGAATATAGGGGAAGCAAGGGAGAAGGTGGAAGGTGGGAAAACAGGTCTGCCAGCCATGGAAAGGCTTTAACAAAACAGGTCTTCTGGCTTCAGAAGAGTTGTTACAGATCGTCTGGCTTCAGAAGAGCTGTAACAGATTTTCTGGCCATAGAAGAGCTGTAACAGATGTTCTGGTCATAGAAGAGCTGTAACAGATCTTCTGGCCATAGAAGAGCTGTAACAAGTATTGTCGCCAAAGAAGACCCGTAACAGGTTTTCTTGCCATAGAAGAGTTGTAACAGGTTTTCTGACCATAGAAGAGCTGTGACAAGTCTTCTAGCCATAGAAGAGCTGTAACAGGTCTTCTGGCCATAGAAGAGCTGTAACCGGTCTTCTGGCCATAGAAGAGCTGTAACCGGTCTTCTGGCCATAGAAGAGCTGTAAAAGGTCTTCTGGCTATAGAAGAACTGAAAAAGGTCTTCTGGCTATAGAAGAGCTGTAAAAGGTCGTCTAGCCATAGAAGAGCTGTAATAGGTCTTCTAGCCATAGAAGAGCTCTAACAGGTCTTCTAGCCATAGAAGAGCTATAACAGATCTTCTGACCATATGAGATGTTAAACAGGTCTCCTAGCCATAGGAGAGCTGTAAGAGGTCTTCTGGCCATAGAAGAGCTGTAACGGGTCTTCTAGCCATAGAATAGCTATAACAGATCTTCTGACCATATGAGATCTTTAACAGGTCTCCTAGCCATAGGAGAGCTGTAAGAGGTCTTCTGGCCATAGAAGAGCTGTAACAGGTCTTCAGTCCATATAGGAGCTCTAATTCTGCCTCATTAATTTTTTGCATCATTTCCAAAGCTTTCATTAAATCAGACAATATGCTACCTTCAATTCTTTTCAATTAGCGCAGCCTCTTTAAATTCGAAAACACTCCTCATAAAACTAAGCCTCCATTGCCCAAGTAATTGTCTTGAAAATAAGCCTTATCCAGTTATTTTTTTTCTTTCTTTTTCGCTTTTTTTGTTGTGGCTTTTATTATTTTCAACTTTTCATGTTAGGTTTTGGCTGGTTGAAATTGAATTATGAATTTGACCATCAAAAAACGCCACATTTGATGAAAATAAAATTCAGTAAACCGTTTTTGTAACACATGACTGATTAACTGACGTTGCACACACGATGTTCATTGGGCCCCTGCAACAAGAACGACAACAACAAAACTGAAGTGGCAAAAAAGAAAACAAAAAGATATCAAAATAAAGAAATAAAAAAACCAGCCGCCGAAACATCATGCATCCACTTAGCCCCCATGGATGATGAGTTTATGCAACATGAAATCTAAACCCGTCAGTTTTAGTGAACATAATAATTTTCAGTTGAGGAAGGCTTTAGAGATGGGAAATTCTGAGGTTGAGAACCGGATATTCTTTAAAAAATTCACGTTCATTGGTCTATAGGTCCTTGAAAAATATTCTTTAAAAAATCCACGTTTGGTGGTCTATTGGTCCTTGAAAAATATTCTTTAAAAAATCCACGTTTGGTGGTCTATTGGTCCTTGAAAAATATTCTTTAAAAAATCCACGTTTGGTGGTCTATTGGTCCTTGAAAAATATTCTTTAAAAAATCCACGTTCGGTTGTCTATTGGTCCTTGAAAAATATTCTTTAAAAAATCCACGTTTGGTGGTCTATTGGTCCTTGAAAAATATTCTTTAAAAAATCCACGTTTGGTGGTCTATTGGTCCTTGAAAAATATTCTTTAAAAAATCCACGTTTGTTGGTGGGAAGGTCCTTGAAAAATATTCTTTAAAAAATCCACGTTTGTTGGTGGGAAGGTCCTTGAAAAATATTCTTTAAAAAATCCACGTTTGTTGGTGGGAAGGTCCTCGAAAAATATTCTTTAAAAAATCCACGTTTGTTGGTGGGAAGGTCCTCGAAAAATATTCTTTAAAAAATCCACGTTTGTTGGTCTATTGGTCCTTGAAAAATATTCTTTAAAAAATCCACGTTTGTTGGTGGGAAGGTCCTTGAAAAATATTCTTTAAAAAATCCACGTTTGTTGGTGGGAAGGTCCTTGAAAAATATTCTTTAAAAAATCCACGTTTGTTGGTGGGAAGGTCCTTGAAAAATAT